TGCCAGGGGCCTGCACAGGCTGTGGTGGTGTGCAGGGCTCGCCCCCTGCCTGTCAGGGGTGCTCTGGTGGTGGCTGCTGCCACGGAGCCGCCTGTGAGCCCAGGCTGGCCCTGGCATCACGTCAGACTGCCCTGGCATGAGCTCCTGCCTGCTGTGGGCCATGGGCAGGCAGCAGGTGAGGGCAAGGGGGTCTTCCAGCCCACGCTGGGAACCCCAGGTGTTCCCTGGCAGGACGTGAGGGCCGTTTGGACGGGACCCAGGAGCAGTCCCTGCTCGCTAAGTGATGAATGACCCTGCACCACAATCAGCACACAAATCATGTTCCCCACCACCAGCCATTCATGCCATCATTCTGCAGAGACTGTTAATCCTCCTGCAGGTATCTGAGATCTCGGGTGTGTGTGGGATGGTTTGCTCTGCCTGTGTCATTGCCCAGACCAACCCAGGGGTTTGTGCCCCCTGCATGAACTCATTAAAGCAGTATTGCCCCCCAGACAGCTTTGGCATCGATGAAATAAGGAGGAAAGAGAATTCCTGCATGGAGGGAGGAATTTTCACTGTCTGCTTGACAGATGCCATTCATGTCACTTGTCGGGCCAGGTGCCGGGCCTGGGGTGGCACAGAGGCAGCTGCTGGTGCAGCAGCCCCTGTGCAGGGCTCGGGGCACGGCCCTGCAGCGTCCCTCGGCCCCGGTGCTCCCGGTGCTCCCGGTGCTCCCGGTCCGTCCCAGCCCGGTGCTCCCGGGGCTCCCGGTCCATCCCAGCCCGGTGCTCCCGGTGCTCCCGGTGCTCCCGGCTCCCGGTCCGTCCCTCCCCGGTCTCCATGGCGACGCTCTCCCGGCTCGGAGCATCCTCGGCTCGCCGCTCGCAGCCTTTGTCTCCCGCCTGGCGCTGGCAGCCGGCCAGGCCGGGCTCCATTTCAAAGCAGCCTTTGTTTATGGGCGCAGTGGCTGCTCAGAAATCCGTGGGGTTCGGTCGGGTGAGAACGCTGCCCTTCCTCGCTCTCCTCCTCCCGCAGCCGAGCTGGGTGACCGCAGCGCCGGGCAGGGGCGGCAGGATGGGCAGCAGCAAGGGGGATCAGGCTTTTTCCTCCTGCCCCCTGCCCCGGCACGGCTGACATCTCCCTGCACAGTCAGAACATGTCACCGCTGTGCCATTTTCAGCACAGCCCTGTCCCCGAGGCTCGCGGGCAGCCAGACCTGAGACAGGAGTGAAGATCCAGCCCCCGGCAGAGGGAACAAGTGCTTGGGGTGAGCTCCAAGCCCAAAGCTGGGATCCTGCCCGGCTTGCTGCCCGCTCCCCTCGGGGGCTGCCAGCTCTGCCAGAGGCAGGGCAGAGCCGCTTGCTGGACAGTGCCATCCACTCATTGTAACAGCCATCCTGCAGCCTGCAGCTGCGAGCACTGGGGGAATTGGGAACACTGGGAGTGCTGGGGCACTGGGGGAATTGGGAACACTGGGAGTGCTGGGGCACTGGGGGAATTGGGAACACTGGGGGAACTGGGAGCACTGGGAGTGCTGGGAGCACTGGGAGAATCAGGAGCTCAGGAGTTCAGGGTCCCACAGAAAGACCATGGCAGGTGTCAGCTGTGGCTTAGACACGACAGTGGCTGGAAGAGCCACCCTGGTAGGACTGACATGACTTTGCATGAGGACACTTCCCCACCTGGAGACAGTCCCAGGAGGTAAAAGGTGCCAGAGCTCTTGCTGTGGTCTGCGGTGCTGCTCAATAAAGTGTGTCCTGGCCCCATTTTATTCTCCATAATTAGGAAACTCAGCAGACTAATCGCTCTCTGAAGCCTAAACCGGAGCATACTGCTGGCACAAGAAGAGCTGGTCTGCGACAGAGCAGGACTTGTTTGTGCCATTTCGGTGAGAAGTGCAAAGGAAACAGGTGAAATCTGTGGATCTGGCACTGTGCTGAGAAAGGGCAGGTCGGAGTGAGGCAATTGATGAGCATCGATTAGGAAGGGCTCGGTGCTGTCAGGCACGGTGCAGGAGGGGCACAGGAGCAGGGTGGCACAGGAGCAGGGTGGCACAGGAGCAGGGTGGCACAGGAGCAGGGTGGCACCCCCGCTGCCCGGCTGCAGTCCTGCCCAGCCCTGCAGAACCGGCCCCTCCCGGCTCCGGGCGCTCCCGCTGCTCTCCCGGGGCTCTGGCATTTTCTCTGGAGAAGCGGCTCACGTCTCTCTCACCAATTCACCGGTGGAGATTAGTCCCGGAGGACGGGGGAGCTCTGCCGGGGGTGTAGCTGGGCTGAAGGCAGAGTGTTTCCTCTGTGAGCATCAGTGTTTGCATCAGGCCATGGCAAACTGCTGAGTCTGGGAGGCAGAAACACGAGGGGAAGCACTTCTCCCTGCATGAATCATCTGTATCTTCTTGCTGGTGCTTTGTAGCTCTGTGGGCTCTCCAGAAATGCCCCACTGTTTTTTGAAATTGTATTTTTGATTAGCAAAAACCTAGAAACACGCTAGAAAGAGCCATGGCTGTGGAAGGGAGTCCAGCATGTGCAGAGCTAGCAGACTTCATGAGGGCAAATCGGCTGAGCCACCCACAGGGCAAGTGATGGCCAGGGTGGCTGGACCCACTGCTGTGGCAGCGTCTCGAAGAGAACCTTTGGGGCTGGGGACTCCCCCACCAGCCCCACGAGGGGTTTGGACTGGGCAATTTCACTGGCACCTGAGCAGTGCGGACCTGGGGAGGGCTGCAGTGAGCCCAGCGCTGTGATTCCCTCTGGAAGGGCAATGCAGCCCTGGTAAATAAATAAAGATTGGATCTTGTCAGTCTCTTGCACTGCACCACTTCCAAGCGCGGGGACGCGAGGCTGCCGTAATTGGCTGGATGCAGAGTGAAATCCAGGCTCAGCGATTCCATTTTGCAGTTGGCAGCCTTCCCAAAGGCAGATCAGGGAATGCAAGTTGGACTGGCTTTAAAACACAGGGAAATCCTTCATCTTTGATAATTTTTTTGCTGATTTAAAGGGCAGGATTAAATCCTCATTTAATAACCCCAAGTGCCTGCGCTGCCCTGCTCTGCTCGTTCTGAGTGCTGCCAGGCTGGAGGAAACGCAGGGAATGTTCTCCCGGGCACAGATCTCGTGGCTGTGTGCTGCTGCTGCAGCCCATGCAATGAACCCCACTGTGTAAGCCCCAGCCTCAGCACGGGGTGCTGCTCCTTGAGCCCAGCTCTGTTCCCACTGCTTTCAGGGCTGGTTGGAAGGCAAGCCCAGTGCTTCCTGCTACCAACTTCCAGTTATGTCATTTGTGGGTTTGCTCCTAATTAAGGATCCTCGGAGCCCCAGATGTTCCTCTCTAGCACACAGCCAGCTGACTGCACTGACAGGCTCTGGGGCAGGGATTGTTTTATCAGTAAGTGCTGCCTGTTCAGTACCTTTATATTGCCACCTCTTGCCGTCGCCTGGGCTATTTTTAAATCCTTAAATAAAGCGTCTACAATGAAAAAGAGAGGAGCCTCCTTGCAGAGGAACACGGAGCCACCACATTGATGAGGAGACTGTTTTCCCTTGCCTGTCAAATCAGCTCATTCAGGTTATTTAAGTCGAGAGCAATTTTGAAAACAATCTGTTTTGCCGGTGCCAGCGGCTCTGTTCTGTGTGACGACGCTGAATGGAGCAAGCGGCTGCGAGTTACTGACAGCAAATTCTCCACATCCCCAGGCCCAGCTTCTCCTGAGACAGCCCCAGCTCTGTTTTCCCAGACATGAAGCAGAAAGTATTTTCTAACATGTCGGCTTCCTCTGCCTTGAGAGCAAACTGCAGCTGAAGGGGAAGGGCGGAGGGGATGGGAGCGCTGAAATGGCGCCAGCTCCTCTTTAACTGCTTTCAGGCAGGGCATTTCTCTGCCTCCTGCAGCTCATTCTCTTGCTCGGATATGAAAATCCTAATTAAAAAGTGAATGGGGATGTGACCATGGAGGGAGTGTGTGTGTGTGAGTGTGTGTCAGGCTGGTGGGTGCAGGTGGTGGCTGCTGTTGTTGGGAGAGGGTATTTGGGGATCAGAGCCCAGCAGAGCGTGTTTGCCGAGTGGTGAAAGTGTAACTGCACGCTCCAGCCTGAGTGCGGGCCGTGGTTTGCCCTTGAAGAGCTGCTGCCATGATTTCTGGTTTCCAATGCCACGTGTGGCCAGAGTGCTGCAGAGCTGTGCAAGCCCACGTCGGGGAAGGACAGCAGTGCCAGGGTGAGGAGGGCACGAGCTGGTTCCTCCCTGCACACGCTGCCCAGAGCGCTCCTTCCCATCCCAGAGCACAGGGGTCCTGGGGCAGGGGTCCCATGGGGAAGAGAAGCTCTGACATTACACAGATGGGGGCTCAGGATTTATCTACCCTTCAGCTGAGAGCAGCTCCCACGCCAGGTGGTTACAAACATCATTTTAAGCACAGAGGTGTTTTGCCGTCCCTTTGCTGGCAGAATCAGCATCTGGGTCCTTGGCAAAGAAGTCCAGAGGTCCAAGTTTCAGAGAGCACCAAGGGACAAATGAACCAAAGAACTGCAGTAAGCAGGAGAGAAGGTCCTCCAGAACCCCAGCTCCCAGATAACTGTGCTCAGCACATATTAGGGCTAAAACCAGGAGCGGTTAACACCTGAGTTCTGCTTCCAGCCAGCACCCAGTACCACTGCTTTGGATGATGGGCTTTTGCATGGGTGAAGCTCAATCTGCTGCTTCTTCTAGAAGAAAACATTCTTCATATTTGAGGATTCCTGAATTTCCCTAGTCTGCCCAGGAATTCAGTTTCATACGTGTCAGAACTCGGCTGAGCAAAGTGCTACTTGTGAGGGTGAGAGGTAAGATCATGAAGCTGATGCGAGGAGATGATGGGGTAAGTGATGGAGTCTTGGTTCCTGCAGAGGCTTTGCTGATGGTGTAGACACAGCTGCAGCTCTAACATGCAGGAAAAAAGCCACTGCTGCAGCAGTGCTCCTAGTTGCTAGGAGCACGTGCATAAATAACATTAGAGAAGAATCTAAAATAATAAAGAAAGCTGCAGACCTTGACTATGAATTTTATTGACAGTGGCACAATACAGTTAACAAACTGACATAACAGGAGTACATAATGAATTCATCAGCCTTCCCAACTGAGGACAGACTTAACAGCAGCCCTCCTACACCACGTGTAGTGCCTCCAACGAGACATGAAACAGGGCTGCTGTGAATGGAACAGGGAGAGAGAGCTGAGTCACACTTCAGGAAATAATGGCTTTCAGTTACACACAATTACATGACAGTCCAAACTTTTTCACATGAAGAAAAATAAACAAGACCAAATTAACTTACGAGTTATTACAAGACCCCGATAAATCGCTGCCACTTTACGGCTGCGCCTGTTCAGCTCACAGCCATGCACCCTGCATTGCTGAGCCTCCAAGGACACAAACACACTCACTGGCCACTCTGCATTGCCACAAACCTTGCCTCTAACACTGTAGGATCTTCTGCAGCTGAAAAGCACTGTGCTTGGTTCATGCTGGCAGAAGGACCCTGGATGCTGCAGCAGATTGCCAGCGACAATGGCTCACGTGCCCAAGGCATCCATTTGTCCAACAGCGAATCAAGCAGCATTCCTTTTCTCACCAGCACTGGTAAGAACGGTAAAGGCCAAAAACTGGGCTGGAAAATGCTGGTGCCAATGTGCAGCTGGAGTCTAGGAGAGAGCAAGAACTTCCCCATGGCAACAAGACCTTGGCTGGAAGTGCTTGTCGGATGCAGAACCATTTACTGAGAATTCCTGTCCACTCTCAGTTTTGTGTGTTCCTGACATTACCACTCTCAATTCCAATTCATTATCAGTCCTTTGACTGGTTTGATTTTTCTGATTTCTGTGATATTGTTACTGAAGCCATGTCCAGTAACAGAGTGTGGCTCATGCACTCCTCACTCTTCATTTGCTGTATTTGAAGTATTTTTGTGTTTTGGATTAAACTCCATGTTCACATACATCAACCTCTCACTAAGTTTGCCAGTGCTGGGGACATTTCTATTCCCTCCCTCAACTCAACAGAGCCAGTGGAAGGTTTAGAGAAATGTCTGTGTGGTTATTTAGACATTAACTCTTTTTATCTGCCAGTTATTGATGCCCCAAGCTCGGCACAGAGCTGGCACAGCAGCAGTACCCTGGGGGAGCTGTGTGCTCTCCACACACGGAAAACACACGTGGAAATGGATGTTACATCCATCTGTGCCTTGTCCTGCATCGCTTGGGGAACAACTGTGTTCTGCTGAGGGCTCTTGATGAGACAGTGCCTGGAATTCCTGTGTGTGACTGGGATAAATAAAGACTACATCAGTCTGTGGGACCTCATTGCTCCCCACAAGTCCCCAACCAGGAGGGTGCAGTGAAGTGGGGCTCATCTCCTCCACCATGCTGCAGAGGGAGGACAAACGGACATGGCCTTAAGCTGAGACACGGGAGGTTCAGATTAGATACTACATTTTTTTTCCACTTTTCAGGTGGTCAGGCTTTGGAAGGGGCTGCCCAGGGAGGAGGTAGAGTCCCCATCCCTGGGAGTGTTTGAGAGGTGTCTGATCTGGCACTGGGTGATGCAGGTTTGGGGTTTGGGGGTTATGGTGGCAGTGCTGGAAGCCTGGACTGGATAATCGTAAAGGTCTCTTCCAACCTTGACCACAGAACAGAATCTCCTGAGCTGGAAGGGACCGACAGGGCTCACCCAGTCCAACTCCTGGCTGGGCAGAGGACACCCTACCAACCCCACCCAGGGCATCCCTGGAGCGCTGGCCAAAGGCTCCTGGAGCTCTGGCAGCCTCGGGCCGTGCCCACGCCCTGGGGAGCCCGGGCAGTGCCAGCACCTCTGGGGAAGAGCCTTTCCCGATCTCCGGCCCAAACCCACTGCCCAGCCGCAGGCGAAGAGATGATTCCGTGACTGTGACCCGGAGGGACCGGCCCGAGGCTGCCGCGGCTCCCGGGCCGGGCTCGGGGTCCTGCTCCCTGCATGCCGGGGAGCCCCGTTCCTGTCCCGCTCCCGGCCCCGCTCCCCCCGTGCCGGGCTCCCGTTCCGTGTCCCGCTCCCCCCGTTCCTGTCCCGCTCTCCCGTTCCCCCCGCTCCCTTTCCCGCTCCCCCCGTTCCCTGCCCCGTTCCCTCTCCCGCTCCCCCCGTTCCCTCTCCCGTTATCCCCGTTCCCATCTCGCTCCCCCTCTCCCTGCCCGGTTCCCATCCCGCTCCCTGCCCCGCTCCCCCCGTTCCCATCCCGCTCCCTGCCCCGTTCCCATCCCGCTCCCCCGTTCCCATCCCGCTCCCCCGTTCCCATCCCGCTCCCCCGTTCCCATCTCGCTCCCCCCGCTCCCATCCCGCTCCCCCGCTCCCGTTATCCCCGTTCCCACCCCGCTCCCCCGTTCCTATCCCGTTCCCACCCCGCTCCCCCGTTCCCATCCCGCTCCCCCCGTTCCCTGCCCCGTTCCCGGCCCCGTTCCCATCCCGCTCCCTGCCCCCGTTCCCACCCCGCTCCCCCCGTTCCCATCCCGCTCCCCCGTTCCCACCCCGCTCCCCGCTCCCGTTATCCCCGTTCCCATCCCGTTCCCACCCCGCTCCCCCGTTCCCACCCCGCTCCCGTCCCGCTCCCCGCTCCCCGCCGGCGGCGCCCCGGAAGCGCGGCCGGGGCGGGTTCGCTTCCTGCGCGCGGGGCGGGCGGCGGCGGCGGCAGGAAATGGCGGCGGAGCTGCGGCTGCAGCTGCCGGGCCCTCCCGCTCCGCAGCGCCGGGCTCAGCCCGCCTAGAGCCGCCGGCCGCGCCGGGCCCGCGCCGCCGCCTCCGGGACGGACTCCGAGCACTTTACATACATGAGGTACGGCCGGGCCGGGCCGGGCCGGGGCGGGCGGGGAAGGGCCGGCGGCGGGGCAGCCCCGCGGAGCCGCAGCGGCGGGACCGGGCTCCCCGCGGAGGGGCCGCCCGGAGGGGCCGCGCGGAGCGTGTGTCCCGTTCCCCCGGGCCGGGCCGGGCCGGGCCGGGCTGGGCTGTGCCGTGCCCTCCGCAGCGCGGAGTTCGCTCTGCGGGGCCGGCAGCGCCCGGGGCCGCCGGTGCGGCACGGAGCGTCCCGGTGCGGCGCGGAGCTGCACGGAGCATCCCGGGGCCGCGCTCGGAGCGTCCCGGTGCGGCACGGTGCGGCTCGGAGCGTCCCGGTGCCGCGCTCGGGGCGCGCTGGCGGCCGAAGTGATGCAGCAGAATCGTTTTCCTGCAAGTCCTTGAGCCGGGGAGGTGCAGGGAGGGCGGCCGGGCTGGGCGTGGGGCGCGGGCAGCGCGATGCGGTGGGCGCAGGGATGGGCACACAGGTGGCAGGTTGGGCACAGGGATGCTGCTGGGCACACGGCAGTGGCAGGTATGGGCACAGGGATGCTGCTGGGCACGCAGGTGGCAGGTTGGGCACAGGGATGGGCACGCAGGTAGCAGGTATGGGTACAGGGATGGGCACGCAGGTGGCAGGTTGGGCACAGGGATGCTGCTGGGCACACGGTGGTGGCAGGTTGGGCACAGGGATGGGCAGGCAGGTGGCAGGTATGGGCACAGGGATGCTGCTGGGCACACGGCGGTGGAAGGTTGGACACAGGGATGCTGCTGGGCACACGGCGGTGGCAGGTTGGGCACAGGGATGCTGCTGGGCACACGGCAGTGGCAGAGGCACGGCTTGCCCGCTCCCCTGCCCGCCCTGCGGACACCCGCCACCAGTCCCTGGTGATCCTCATCCCTCCTGACTGACCCTACCTGGAGCTCCCTGTGCATCCTGACCCGCGCCACTTTTATTTTCCTGCTGCATTGCTGTTGACATGGAAACCAATACCACTTTCTGTTGCAGAGAATTGGAAGCTAAAGCTACCAAAGAAGTCGAAAGAAAACTAAGCAGGTAAGAGATTCATTTAAATTCCCTCCCACAATTTAGATGGAAAGGTGGCCTAGGGCTAGGAGTAGTTGTGGGCTTTATCGGGAGCTTTAATCTCTTGTTAATTGTAAGGATAAAAAAAAAAAAAACCTCTGAATTTGAAAACGTTCTCTATTGCATGGGGAAATGTCTGCAAGTCTACAAGTCTAGTTAGTTCTGTAGACTAAACACTTTTTTAGCTGTTTTTTTTTTTTTGTTTAACAACTTCAGATGTTTAATACAGTTTCTTTCATAGAGGAAGTTTTTGACAAGAAAAATAACTTTTCTGCACTAAATTGTAGTACCTAACAATTACTGAAAAATGAATGAGGAGTTTGGGGTTCTTTTATACACTTCAGGCAAATATTGTTTGGAGGCAAGACCTTGAATAAAATCTATGTTGCCATATAACTTCTGGCTCTGCCTCTTTTGCCATGAAGAGTTAGCTGGTGAATTTCCTGTTTACGTATAGTTTTTAGAATGAGAGCTTAACAGAATGGGCTCGGGAGTTAACTCCTTAACTCGGGAGTTCAGAGTCACGTTGAAGGAGGAACTCTGTGCTGTAAGGTGTATCGCTTTTGTGGTTAAGTAGTTGTTTCTTCTGCACCGTTTGCTTTTGGTCAGGTGACACTCTCAAAAGTATCTGCTCTATCAGTTAGATTCTGTGCTTTCAGCTCCTGTCCTGCTTCCTTTTTGGGTTCTTTTTCAGTTAGACCTTTAAAGGCCTTTTGCTAGTGCTCTGTTAAAGGAATTTCCACTGGGGCCGTTTGAGATGTGCCTGAACCTGAGTGTAGCTGATAGAATCTCAGGTTTGGTGCCCTGCTTTTTTCCTTCTTTCCTGTGCCCGAGCAGTCTCCAGCTTCCAGGGTGTGCTGTGAAAACTGCTTTGCTCCCCCCTGCTCTCAGTGCGTGTCTTCCTTTTCTGTTTTCTTGGTAATGCACTTAGGCGTGAATGATTTTTCCCACGTTGCTGTTGAAATCCAGGGAATAACTGGGGTACCTGGGAGTCTCTAGGATACCTCTGGCACGTTGCTGTTATCCCGTCAGCATTCAGGGCTCGCTGCAGTCGCAATGCCAGAAGTGATGCCAGAGCTGTGTTATACAGAGTGACAGAGTGCTGAGTTCAGGGCACCACTTGGTGCCAGTTGTAGTAAGTCAGGAGATCTTCACATTTTTGTGACCTTAGCAGAGATCTTGTCATGCTGACAGGCAGTGCCGAGAGTGAGAGGAAGTGAAAGAAAACTACAGCACTTCCAAAATTCGGTGTTTGCAGAGTAAATTCTGCTATGGAACGGGTCTCCGTGTCTCTCTGCCACAGAGGAGTATGTTTTATTCATTAAAAGATTCAGAACTGGTTTGAAGTTCACATTAATGCCTTGGCTGGTTTATGTTTAGCCAGGGAGCCCTCGTTGTGTGAGCACACAGCTGATAAACCCTGGCATGCCTGCGCTGGGTAGACCTGATTAATTGTTTTACTGGGGTAGAGCTCAGCAGATAGCCCTCGTTCTTCCTCCAGTGTCATTATTTACCGTCTTATTAAATTTACAGTGATCTAGTTGAACTGTAAAAGAGCAGATATCCTGAAGGTACATAGACCTGTGCTAGGGTTTATGTTCATCTCAGATTTCACAGTGTGGATGTAGACTGTGAACTCCACGGGATGTTGGCTTTGTTTTGTGTGTGTTCTGAAGTCACTTCTGGAGTTTATGCTTATTAATTAATGGGTAGCAAATACACTTTTTAATCTTACTGGGAATATTGGCCTAGGCTGTGGGTTTGTGATAGGAAAAGTATGACAGCTTTCAGTGCAGCTTGCTTATCCCGTTGGAGTGATTCCTGTTTTACACTCAGGATTAGCAGGCTTGTCTGGCCTTTTGGAAAAGTGTCCTCATTTGGTCTCTGTTCTCTCTAAAATTCATACATGCCTGGTGCAATGCAAATATTCCTGGACTCAAAAATAAGAGTGGTGCATGACTCAGGACAGTGATTCAAACAAATCCATTGCACACTCTGTTGTGGCATCGTTTTACAAAGCAAATGTCACCTGATCAGCCACAGCAAGAGCTGTCTGCTGTTAGCTGGGGAAATCTAAGAGTTAAATTTGGTTAAAATCAGGACTGCTGAAAATCACCATTTAGTTCTTCTGATTTAAGCAATAACTTTTCAATTCTGTTTGGTAAACAGGGCTTTCCTGCCTCATTTATGTGGAACTGAGAGAAGGTAAATATCTGAAATGTGTTGGCAATCATGTTCCCAAACCCAGGGGTTTGAGTGTTGCTTCACAAGCATGCAAACCATGGGGAAGAGTCTCCATTGCTTCCATTCTCCTGTGCTTCTGCCCACCTTGGTTGCAGACTGGCCATGTTTTGGGAGAGCAAGCTTCTCACCTCTAGCTTTCGTCCATGTAAAGTTACTGCTGTACAATTGATTTTTTTCACTTTCATGTAACAATAAACCCGTATTTCTGTGATATTTTTCTTATCTGCTGCAGGGAAAACATAGAGCTGGCCCAGTGATAGAGACATATAAACCAGGGAGAAATGTAGTTGTTTCTGTTTATGTGTAAGCATTTGATTTTCTGTTGGGTTTCTGGGGGTGGGTCTCTTTCCTGATAAACTTCTTATGGACAGATATCTGCTGTGAAATGGGAAGAGGTTACTGCAGAGACAACATTCTGTTCATGCTTTCAAAACCTTTACAGACAGGTGGGTAAAATGACACCCCCCTTTCTCCTCTTCCTCCTCCACAGACGCTTTGGAGGCTGTGCAGGGTTTCCAGGTGGTCCCCATGGGGTCCCTTTGGTGTTTCAGGGTCACAGCAGCCCCCGTGCAGGCTGTGGTGCCTCTGCAGCAGCAGCAGCACTGCAGCAGCCTGCTCAGGGGCAGCCTTGGTGCTGGGCTTGAGCAGTCGATTGTGGAGGAGCAGTTTAATCTGCCTTCCTGGTTCCTCATTTGTTACAGGAAGATAGGGATTGTTTATGGCTGCTGCTGGAGTCCTGTGTAGTTGGATGATAAACTTCTTGGGAAAGAGATCAGTCTTTTGTGTGCTTGTGTAGCAGCAAGCATTCTTGGGTGAAACTCGAGGGCAAAACTAGCACAAATATTCCAGAATTATGGTGCATTTGTAGTCCTTGTGTTTGAGAGCATCATCCTGATGAGCCAGGTTCTGTAT